CAATTACTGACAGTCAGTCTCTGAATGTTTACAGAGTACTTTTTTCCTTAAACGTTTTTATACCTGTTAAAGGGGGAAGCCATTCTTAGCAGTAACCAGCTATGTATCCAGGCTTTTAAAATTAAACAGAATATTTTGGGGCTTGAGAAGCAATAAAGAAAGGACAGAAACAACACAGCGAACAAGAAGCATCAAGGCTAAAGCTATGGAAATTTCTCTGGGTATCCATCTCACCCTGCAGTGTCTGGGGCATCTCTGGCACCATTAACCCCCTGTCAACCAGAGCATAAAGCTCCAGAGTTTTTATGCTTGTGATATACTCTACAATAACCAACACTCTAAAAATCTGATCATTAAATATATTAATAACAATGATCAGTAAGAAGTTAAAGATTAACATTTTCTCTGACTCATTCTCAGATTTTTTCTTTAGCTTTTAATAGAACCTCAAATGCTTTAGTCAAGAAAAGTAGCTCACCTAGGACTCATTTGGGGACCATGCTGGAAATTTTCTACTCATTTGCATTTTAAATATTTTCTGAACTTTAATTATCCTTGTACCACCGGTAAGATTTTGCCAAATTCTGTTAAAGGTAAAACGGTTTTATTTAATAATTTTTTCACTGACCCTCACATTTTACTGATTCTTTCCATGATTCTCGTTGCAAACCAAGCAAGCCGAGAATTGAATTAAATTCAATGTTGACTTTGTGGAGTAAGTGGATTCAGTTCTCTTCCAGTTTGCTTCACGAACACAATCGTGGAGAGAACTGAGTTTGTGCAATGTGGTACCACTATACATTTGATCTTATTTGTGTGTTAGAGGAGACATGAGTAGTTTGAATTGCCTCCGTTTGGTGGCATAAAAACATGAAGCAGCTTTATTTTTCTCAAATAACTTCCCTTGTGCTGCGTCAAATCTCCCTGTGCTGTGGACAGATTACTGAATCACAACTTGGGCAGATTTCAAATTTCTCAGGCACTTGTAGTTATTAAAGTTGTAATTTTCCATTTTCAGTTCTTAGTTACGAGCCAGTATAAAACATCTTTTTCTTCCCTACTGAAGTATATTGGTTTCCCCTCGGTAGCCCAGATTAGTGGCTTCAAGGTCTTGAAGGAAAAGGGTAACGTTGGCTCATCTGCTCCGCGCCCTCATCTCTCACCTTATTGACCAGGAGTAGGCTTGGGTACCTGATCTGCTCCGTGATTCATTCTTCACTGTCCATTTGTGAAGTCTCTTTTAATAGATACCCTTTGGCATCGGCTCTCTCTGCTTACTGGAGGTTGTGAATCTCTGTGTATGGACATCAAGCAGCTGCAGCCCAAGCTCTTCTGAATCCCTCTGATTCTGGTCCTCATCAAACACCACATGACATTTTTTTAAACATTTCAGTGATTTCTAGTTTATTCACTCTATTGTATAATCATCATTACCACATGTTTTAAAAGAGAGCTTTATATCACAATAATATTTTTTAAATACACTTGTCAAAATTACAAGGTAAAAGCAGAAAAATATTACAATGAAAACAGAACTGTGCTATTGCTACTAAATACTGCTGTCCAGTGCCATATTTGGGCCTGAGATTGGTCCTCTTTCTTAAGGGAAGAACTTATCACAGCTTATATTGTATTGAAGGAAATGAAAGCTTCTCCTTTCTCATGAGCCAGAAGGACTTAAAAAGGTAAAGCATTTCTTTTCTCAAACATGTGATTCAGGGTCATATTGGTCAATGTCAAGACCATATTGAAAACACCAGTGACCTGTGCCCTGTGCTGTACTACCTCTTGGTACATATAGGCTTACATGACCTTTTCCAGGGATCCCTGTGCTTTTTTCCCTTTCTTTTGCGCTCTGTATTCTTGATCTTTGCACCTATATGATTCGAGCCATAGCAAAAGGCACATAGATAAATAAGCAAGTAATCCAGCTGGCCACCAGAACCAAGTCTCCAAGCACACAGTCCAAGTCAGGTTATTCCAGCATTTCTAGGGGTTCCAGGCCACACAGCCAAGATCCAGTCATTATAGAACAGAGTCCATATACTCCTAAATTATTGATCCACAAAATTGTAAGTTAACTAACATGGTTGTTTCTTGCGGGCACTAAAATTACATAAAATAGATACAAGAAATAATTTCACAGGGTGATCATTAGCCTGTGTTTACCTTGAAGTTGCAGTATGTCTGTTGTCACAACAAAATTATAATTAGTGGTGATTTCACACTGTTACCCCAGTTTGGGTGATAATTGTATTTTCACCTTTGTAATATTCTATGCTCTGTACTTGATTTATGATTTTACCAAATTGTCCTGCCTTATATTATCTTAAACTCTGCGTAATAGAGAGCTAAATATTTCCTGTGTCTGAATTTTGACTAGTTGTGATTCAACACACACATTACTCTCAAGAATTCAAAATTCTTTAAGCAAATCTCAAAGAAGAGATCTATTTAGAAGGCATGATTAGTCCTCCACATCATCTCATTGGCTCATCCATGGATCCAATTAACTATGGACCAAATATTTGAAAAATTATATTCACACTGAACATGTGTCTTGTTTCTTGTTATTGTTTCCTAAACAAGAAACTGTAACAACAGTTTGTATAGCATTTATATTGTATTGTAACTATAAGTAACCCAAAGACATTGTAAAATATACAGAAGGTATGTAAGTTATAGACAAATACTGTCAATTTGTATACCATTTTGGTATTCAGAGAAGGGTCCTAGAACCAATCTCCTAAAAATGCCAAAGGATGATAACCTATTTAAAAAATACCACTGCTGAATCAGAATTTTGTTTACATTCTGGTAACGGAAGAAACAGGTATGAAATTGTTTCTTTAGGGGTAAAAGTCAGATGAACCTTTTTATTTTTGGTCACATTCAAATCTTCAACACTATTAAAAAGCAAGAACCAATAGTCACTAGTTTCAAGATTAAAAGGCAAATTAAATGTTCAAATATATCAAGGATAATATGGTTCATGTTGATAATAGCTATTAATTTGTTCATGGATCTATACTTCAAGTACAAGTACAGTAGTCCAACTCATCTGCATGATCACAATAACCCTATGTTATAAGTACTGTTATCGTCCCCATTTTACTGATGACAAACCTTAGACTTAAAATTCAGTGCTGAAAAATGGAGGAGCCGTGATATATACTAAGCCAATCTGATTTCAGAACCTGTTAATGTCTATTAGAATACAACAGAGGAAAACGGACTTTAAAATACCTAAAAGGTCAGAGGATATAAATTGAAAATATATATTACTTTGCAAAAGGATCAACTCATGTTTTCTGATCAATCAATTTCCTTCTGGTTATGCTATTTCTCTTTTATTATAGTACAACAGGCTTTGTGGGCACACAAAAAAATCAGATTACTGGTTGTCTTGTCAGTGGTAACATCAATTTGACATGCTTGACACTACCAGTAAGTACATGAATGACACTTCCTTAGATTATGTACCAATGATTGTAACTACACATTATACAATATATACTATTCATGAGATATGATTGTTAAGGAGTGATTACTGTCATTTAAATCTGGCAAGGTTGGGTTCTCAGCCTGGTATTTTTTAAATTGTTTTTCAATAGCAACTTAAGTGAGAGAATATTCTCTTCAAATTTCCTGTAACACTAAAACTGATACAAACATTGTATTAGTATCTTAAGAGACAAAGATAGAAGAAAAGGTCTCAGGGAATTGAATATTTTTTAAAAGATCTATTTGCACACGTACAAACAGTTTTATTTTAATTTTAGTATAGCCTGCCTCTAAGAAAGACGGCAAGCCTATAACAACTGGAAAAACGTTTATGAGTAATTTATAGGAAGAAACACAAGGTCCTTCATCATTAGGAAAAGGGAGTTCATATTGAATAGAAATTTGGACCTACGTCTTCCCTACAAAGAAAACAAGTACACATCTCCTTTCGTTGCTATAACATGGGACAGACTTTCTTTTGGCCAGAACAAAAAGGCAAAATATAGCACTTGTGTAAGAGAGAGACAAGTAACTTCAGACACTGGAGATAGAAAAAGAAACCAGATATTTTGCAGAGTAACATAGTTGAATAATAACAGCTGCTATCAAAATAGAGGTATCTATGGCCATGTACAATTCTAAGTGTTAGAAATAATAGCCCAATTAATCCTTTCAACAAATCTGAATGTTAGGGATGATTTCTATCCCCATTTTATAGATTAAGAAACTGAGCTATGAAAAAGAGAATTGACCAAAGTCACAGAGCTTACATTTAAATGAAAATAGTCTATGTTTATAATCTCATCGTACTGCTTGTCAGGAAAATATTTATCTCTAATTTAAACAAAATACAAAACTCAGTAGACATGCACAGAGAACAAAGACTAAGTACAGAAATTTAGAAGATGAACAGATCCTAAAAAAACAAAGAAGATCTGCATGAAAGGAACAAAGCTACCTTCTTGCTTTGTAGGAGACTTGTTTTGGGTCTTTGTTTGTTTGTTCATTTTTGTTTTAATCTCAATTCATGGATGATAAGACACAAGGCAGATGTGTAAGTAGTGTATTAAAAAAATACCAGGACTTCACAGAATTAGATTTACAGCACATATATAGGATTATGTTTTAAGGAAACACATTTTATTTCATCCATAACATGAGCTCTGTTTCTTTTAATAAATTCTTTTGGTTCATAAATAAAATGCTGAGTTATGGTTTCATTATTTCCAGTGATAGATGTTTAGACGTGGCACACCCTATGGCTATTGGCAGGAAAACTGGAGCAAATAGGAACAATTTCTGTGCCTCTGAATCTCTGTCTCTGTCTCTCTGTCTCTCTCTCTCTCTCTCTCTCTCTCTCTCTCTCTCTCTCTCTCTCTATCAGAAAGTAACTCCAAAGGATCTCTAGTCATAATAGCTCCAAACTAAATGCTTAATGCAAGCCTACATTCAGCATGGTTGGCTTTCAATCTGGATAGGTAAACAGTATCAAAGACTTGGAGGAGTGAGTAAATCGTTTTATTCATTGTAGTGATAGATATGATAATTAAGTTGTAAAGAACTCAGAGAAAACTATCAAAATCATAAACAATGATTAAACAGTGCTTGAAAAGGAGCAGAAAAAAAGAATCCGCTTTTCTAAACAGAACAGAAGGCTACAGAGAAAGTCTTCAAATGTGAGAGCAAACATACATAAACTGGTGACATTCAACTTCAGGATAAATTCCTGGCTCCACGTTTTATAAAGCAGTAACTTTGCATTGTAATTCTTTAAAGAAAAGAATACACAGGCCTGGGGTGATTTTAACAAAGTCTTTCTTTGAGACTTGGACTTGATTAGATGGCGTTACAGGGTCCTGCAAATGCTGACCACGATCAAACTAACTTGTGCACAGCCGCGGTAGACGCTGGCAGGCGCTGGGGCTGCAGCGCTGCTGCGCTCGGCGGGCCATTATCCCAGCCAGGACGCTGCCAAGAGCAGATGTTTTTTTCTGTTGTTGTCGGTGGCGTGGAGTCCTATACCCTATAAAAGAAAACTAGGCTTAATTTGAACTTTCATTTAGAAAAGAAAAAGTTGGTTCTTAAGGGGAAAGAATTCTAAGGACCTCCTTCAATTCTATGGAGCAAAAACACAGAACATGCCATATGAACCTCACTTGGGAAATTTAAATAAGGAGCTTTAGAAACATAACGTGATTTGGCAAGAGCACCGTTTGAATGCGGTTGTGAGGTCCCACTCGCAACATATGCTTTTACTAAGCGGCACTGTTCCTTTCTTTCACCGTCTGAGCTTTTAAAACGTAACTTTATATTTTCTACAATTAGCATGCTGAACTAAAACCAAAGTAGTTAACTCTGAATAAAACTATCCTGTTATGAAATTAGAGCTCATCCCGGAGAGAGGCGGAAGGAGCTTTAAAGGTGACCCCTTTCTCTGCTCCACTTCTTCTAAACGCACAGACCAGGCTGCTGGTGGGGAGAGCAGTCTGCTTACGATTATGAGCTGAACTTTGAACCATGTTCCTGCCAAGGAGTTTTGAATGCTAATATAAAAAGATGTATATAAAGTCAGATCAACTAAGGTATTTTAAGAGTCTACTGTAAAGAACCAAGCTCTTTTCCTTGCTTCATTGTTAGAGATAATATGCCTTTCTACCAAAAATGCTTTCAAGATGTAACCGTATTTTGAAATGAGTATCATAATACATCTTCTGCAAGCCTGGAATTTGAAAACAAAGACCTCATTTTAATCTGCGTTCCTTCTTACCTGATGAGCAGGGTGACACTGCCGCTGGAGGAGGTTTGGACATGTCCCTGGTCTCCTTGGCTTTTCTTTTTCTTCATTTTATAGGCCCTGACAACTTTTCTTTCTGGAGCTACATAAATTAAACAGGGTTAAGACTATCAGCTCTTGTACCAGCTCCAAAACAAGCCAGGACAAGAAAATATCCTCTGGTTGATCGACAGACTTCCAGGATTTCTGCTAAACCGGCTGAACGGTAGCCTCCCTGCCTTTCTCTCCACTGAAATAGTAACAGAGCTTGGAGCCCAGGCTGGCTTTCATTTTTCCCCCTTTTACGTAGCTAGAAGGATATTTTGAGTTATGTAAAAGGGGTAAATAAGCCAACTTCTCCGTTAGTTTCCACTGTACTTGGGAGACGCTGCTGGTCTTGCAGTCACCTCCCTGGAAAGTTAGACCTTAGAAAACTTGGCACGGGGAGTCCGGCAGTGGCTTTGCTGGAGGGTTGGAACATGGATGAATTGTCTTTCCCTGATGTGATCTGAGTCAGACAAACAATGTGTGATTTTCAAATAAGTACCCAAGAATGACAACCAAAGAAGACAATGGTGGGCCTCAAGTCACAAGTAGATGATGGCTTGATGTTACCACGACGAATGGAAGGTAAAATCAGCAATGATTCAATGCAATAGGGATTTGAATACCTCTAGGAAAAGGGAAAAGATTTACAAGACAGAAAGCTGACAATGTATTTTAGGGGAATTTGGATCTCAAATATGGCCTTGAGAAATATATATCCATGTGGATCTGAAGAAAACTTTAGATCAGTTTTCCTAAAAGAAGTTCTGCTTAAGATTTCCAGTCATGAGAGGATTTAAGGATCTAGCTGATTCATAGAGAACAATTAGTCACTTTAAAAAATTTTGCATTGTCAACAGCCCTTCAGGTTTCCAGAAGCACACACACACACTCTTACGAATTGTAAAGCCTATGAACCTTGTTCAGCAGTGTATAACATTGCATTAGGGGAAACCTGATCTCAAAAAGAATGCATCGCTATTTTTAATACACACAGAAACTTACAAATAAGGAATTTCTAGGATTATTTTGGGCTTTTTATCTACTTACTGCCTAAATAATATTGGTATCTAGGATCCAGTAGAGATTCCTTCCATTGGAAGCCAATGGGTCCCTGTTATTCCAGCCAGAATCAAAACAGTGCAATATTATTCCAATGTTATGGAATTTATCAAAACCACTGCATTACCAGACAGTTATGTATGCAATCATGTCTAATTGCCTAACTATAAGAACAATAGAAATTATTAGTTACATTTTAGTGGATTTGGACTATGGCTTGAATCATGTAATATGGCAATCCTGACATTACAATGTAAAAATAAACAAGCAGGGAAAAATTCCTATAGTTATGTACCTGCTTTTGTTCTTCTCATATCTGTGCACATTAAAAACAATATAAGAAACTATTTATAGCTGGGCGTGACAGCATTGACCTATAATCCCAGCACTTTGGGAGGCTGAGGCAAGAGGATTGTGAGTTCAAACTTAGCCTGGACAATTTAGTGACTTCATAAGTCTGTGCCTCAAATAAAAGAAGAAAAGGGAGCATGGCTGTGGTTCAGGCCCAGTTTAAAGGACCTGAGTTGAACCCCCACAAGAAAAAAAAAACAACAACAACAACAGGTTTTTCACTAATCTGAAATGGTTTAGGTTAGAGAAGATTTTAAACATTGTGGACTTAATGAACAAAATAATAGAGTTAAATGTATTAAACAATTTACATTCATTACAAACACATTATCAAAATGGCTCTGTGACATAAGTGGAAATGGTACCCTCCTTCACTTGCAAGAACAATAAAGCTTAGGAAAGTTCAAGTTAGACACAGAAAGCTAGTAAATGGCAGACTTATTTCTGAGTCAAAGCTATCTTTATGCATACTCAGACTTTAAACACAGTGACCTTGAAAGTGTGTATATGGTACTTTTATGCATTTGGAAGACAGGAGAAAGAGATGTTGAGAGACACTTTACTTTTTTCTGAGGAGTTAGAGAATCCTGGTCATACAAACTACTTTTAATATCCCTCAAGTAATCACCCACCACTATCTAACTTATGATAACATTTTCCATCTCTTCATGGCAGAATGGAACCCAAAAGAAAATATTTCTTTCTGTGAGTGTAAAGGAAACTATTACCAGGTAGAAATAGCAGAAAGATTATATGCTGCTTTAATGCTGTCCCTTGCCACTCCATAAAGTCCCATTAAGAATTTCACATTTCGGGCTGGGGATTTAGCTTGGCGGCATAAGCACCTGCCTTGCAAGCGCGTGGTTATGAGTTCGATTCCCAGTACTGACAAAAAAAAAAAAAAAAAAAAAAAAAAGAATTTCACATTTCTCAGGGTGGACAGAAGCACGACAGGGAAGTGAAGGATCTATGACCTCTGACTGAGAGATCTGCTCTGAAACCAGGAAGTAATGCTTGAGGTAAGGGCCAGAGTCCCTCTGAAAATAATTGCAGCCATCCTTAGCTATAACAAGGACCCAAGTTCCTTTGATGACAAGAACTGCTGATTTCATATCAGGGACAGCGGAATAATAAGCTCTCCAGCAGAATCAACAGTACACCATCTTGCCCTACAATTCTTGTTTTGTGCCTTCTGCGAGAATCACACTGATTCAATTCATTCAGTGTTGTAAGTTGACCATTAGTTAATTCACTACAACTATATTTAGAGCAACACAATTCATGCTAACTAAATCTTGAAAGCAGCCATCAACAGATGAATAGATAAAATATGGTATTTATACACAATGGAATATTACTCTGCCATAAACAAAGATAAACTTCAGGCATCTGTAGTGAATATTAAATGAAGTAAGTTAGACACTTCTTTTAATTAGGCACTTTTTAAAATATTCTTAGGTTACGTTTTGGGGTAGTTAATAGATAAATAATGCCATTACTTAACATTAACCACTGAAATGAATGGCATAGATCTGCTAAAGTGTAATAGTTCTTATATGTTATTTTGGTCAAGCTGGTATAAATTCAAGCTAAAATGTTACATATTTAGGGTATAAAACATAGCCTTCAATATAACATCAAAGACAAACTATGCAATACAATGATATCTTCATACAAGTTGTAGATGTTTACAGGAGGCACAACATGTGTCAAAAGGGATGAGTACCAGACAATTGTTTTGTTTGGAAAGGGTACTGTTATGGTTTGTGTCTAGATGTCCCCACAAAGCCTCATGCAGACACAGGATTTTATGTTTTTCTTAAAGAGGAAAAAACAGAAAACTCAAGAAGCAAACAAACAATTAAAAACAATAAAAGCAAAATGATAACAACAGCAACAAAAACAATGGTGATACAGGTTTCCAAATAAGATAGGAAATTAACAATGGTTGTTATATTGCATATTGTTATCCTGAAAATAACTGCTCACGCTAGTAGATATAGGCATGTAAGACTGATCAAATAATATTAATTTTCCTTTGAGCAGTTTCTTTCCCTTTTACTATATCTACTGCAACCTTTGGATCTTATTTACTCTTTCAGTTTCTTACACTAGCAATAAAATACAGTGTTTATACATGCAAGTCTGATTTCACTTATAAGTATGATTTCTAGTTACATCCATTTACCTATAAAAGCCTCAAGGTTATTGTTGTTTATGGCTGAGTAATATTCCACTATATAAAAACACCACTTTTTTATTCATTCCTCAGTTGATGGGCATTGGAGTTGTTTCCAAGATTTAGCTATTTCAAATTGTGCTGCTATAAAATGGAGGTCCATATATTACTGTTTTCAATTCTTTTGGGAAAATACTCAGAAATGGAATAGTTGGGTCAAAGGGACCTCTAGTTCTAGTTTTTTTTAGGAATCTTCACACTGATTTCCACAGTGGCTGTAACAGTCTACATTTCCACCAATACTGGAGAAGGGTTTATATATCCCGACAGCCCTCTAGCATTTGTCATTGGTTAATTTCTTGATGTTAGCCATCCTTTCTGGAGTGAGATGACATCTCATTGTTGGTTCACCTTTTATTTCCAAAATGACTAATGATGTTGAACACTTTGTCATGTATTTGTTTACCATTTGTATTTCTTCTTCTGAGCCTTGTTCATCTCTCATGCCCATTTTTGGATTGGCTTCTTAGATGTGGGGACTCGTTTTTTCCAATTCTTTGTTATGTGTGTTCTACATGAAAGCACTTAGTCTGAGGGACAGTTGACGGAAATCTTTTCCCAATCTGTGGGTTTTATTTTCACTCTGCTGGTAGTTTCTTCCAATGTGTAAAAACTTTTTAATAAGAAGAGATCCCCAGTTGTTGATTCTTTGAAGTGCTTCCCATGCAGTTTTTTTTTTGTTGTTGTTGTTGTTCATGAACTCTTTTCTTACTCCTATGTCCCCAAGATTTCTACCTACTTTGTCTTCCAGTAGGTTTAGTGTTTCTTTCTTAATATTTAGATATTTGATGTATTTTGACTTTAATGCATGGTGATAGGATTGGGTCTAGTTTGAGTCTTTGGCTTGTAGAAAACCAGTTTTTCCAACACTACTTATTAAAGAGGCTTTTTTCCAGTGAACATGTTTGGCCCATTTGCCAAAGACAAGGTGGCTGAATGTGTTCATAGCTGTGTCTATATCTTGTGTTCTGTTCCACTTTACCTTGGGTCTGTTATTTTGTCAGTATCATGCTGATTTTATTATAGTAGGTTTATGGTATAATTTTAAGTCAGGGATTGCGATGCCTCCTGTCTTACCTTTGTTGTCCAGGATTGTTTTTGCTATTCTAAGCCTCTTATGGTCCCATATGCATTTTAGGAATGTTTTCTCTAGATTTCTGAGGTCTGCTAATGGTATTTTGATCAGGATTGCCCTAAATCTGTGTAACAGTTTTGGGAGTATGGCCATTTTCATAGTGGCAGTTTTTCCTATCCATGAACAAGGGATATCTTTCCATTTTCTGAATTCCTCTTCCATTGCCTTTCTCAGAGTATTGTAATTTTCAATGTATAAATCTTTTACATTCCTTGTTAGACTGATTCCTAAACATTTCATTTTTTTGGATGTTATTGTGAAGGATGTGTTTTCCTTCATTTCTCTCTCAGTGAGTTTTTTTGTGTAGAGGAATGCTATTGACTTTTGAGTATTTACATTGTAACTAGCTATGCTGCTGAATGTTCTTATTTAGTCTAGAAGTCTACTGGTAGGGTTCATGGGATCTTCTATATAGATTATCATACCATCCGTGAATAATAATTTTATTTCTTCCTTTTAATCTCGTTCCTTTTATGTCTCTCTTTTGCCTGATCGCTCTGGCTAATGTTTCCAGAACTGTATTGAATGGGAGTGGTGATAGTGGACAACCTTGTTTTGTTCCTGATTTCAGTTTTTGGCCATTTATTATGTTGTTTTTATTGGTTTATCATAGGTGGCTTTTATCAGATTGAGGTAAAGACCATCTATTCCA